GCACGAGTCATAATAGGCGCGGGGGCCGGGTGGAGGTGGTCGGTGGTCAGTGGTCGGTGCCAAGAAGCACATCTTGATTGTCTAGTTCCAGCACGTCAGCGAGCTGCGCTTCTTGATTCCCACTCGTCAATCCCCTCATCCATCATCCATCGTGACTCTTGCTTACTCACACCTCTTGCACTCACATCCTCCTCATCCACCAGCATTCCAAGCGCATCTCATCCTCTCCTCACCACGCAACCTTGTCCCCCCACCCCCTCCTTTGAACCACGCCCAGAGCACTCTCTCGCAAACATGTCGATGGTTTATGATCCCGAAGCCAAGCAGATCGATCCGCGACCAGTTCCGCAGGTAGCTTCGAGCCATGTGTTGGATCTCTTCTCGTCAGTCACGCGCCCTCGAGGCCCAACGGGGCCAGCCGACTAGCCAATCATGTTTTCGCCAAGCTGACGCTCTTCCTTCTTCCACGTCAAGCATGAAGGGCAAAGTAGTTGCTGTTAGCGGAGCAGCGGCAGGCATTGGTTTCGCAGCTGCGGAAGCCATGGCAGAGGCGGGAGCGGATGTTGCGCTTTGGTACAATAGCAACGACGCTGCCATCAAAAAGGGAGAGGAGCTGGCAAAGAGGACAGGCGTCAAGGTCAAGGCGTACAAGGTTGGCGTCACTGATCTGCAAGAGGTGCGCAAAGCGGTCGAGCAAGTCGTAGAGGATTTTGGAAAGCTGGATGTGGCGGTGAGTCTTGTATGCGCGGGCGCACACAAGGGGTACTCTCTGCGCTGTCACCATTACGCTTTTCCCCTGAAAATGTTTGGACGCTCGTTTACTTTGCAGATCGCGAATGCTGGAGTAGGCATAGCGGGCGGTATTCTGGAGCAGACTCCAGAGCAGTTCCACAAGCAGGTGAGCGCGCGCGCGCGCAAACGTTCGCTTTGCTTCGATCTGGTCAGCGTCCTGGCTCACGTGCTGCTCTTTCAATCATCAGACCAATGTCAACTGTGAGTGCAAGTCGAAAATGGCTGCAGTGTGGCACAAAGTCAAGGACGCCAGTGCACTGACCTTCCATGGCGATCATCCAAGACTTTGGCGTTTACCACGTCGCCAAGGTGAGACGACGCAGTCCGCAGCTGGCCACCTTTTTGCTTTGCTGGTTCGCGCTGACTTCAAAGAGCTGCTGCTGCAATGCATCAGGCTGCCGGAGAGGTGTTTCAAAAGCAAGGCCACGGCAACCTGATCATCACCAGCTCCATGTCGGCGCACATTGTCAACGTGCCAGTCGACCAGGGCGCTTACAATGCTTCCAAAGCCGCTTGCACAATGCGTGAGTACGAGGAGCAGTGCCTTCTTCCAAGTCGAATTTGATGAGCGGCCTCTGATGCTCGTAATGAGGTTGCATGGCGTTGCGTTCATCTCGAATAAAGTCGGAAAATGCCTTGCTAGGGAATGGGGAGCGTTCGCTCGAGTGAATATGGTCTCGCCAGGGTTCTTCCAAACGGATATGGGAGCCGGACCTCAAGTACTGCAAGAAGCTTACAGGATGGCCGTACTGGGAAGACAAGGCGATACGCGCGAGCTAAAGGGCATCTACCTCTACTTGGCTTCCGACGCATCCACTTACACTACCGGTTCGGACTTTAGTGGGTGCCACTTGTGTCAAGCCAGCGCGAGTTGCTGCCCGCAGGCTAACTTCGCATCTTTATGATGCAGTTGTGGATGGCGGCTACACCCTCTCATAGACGTGCGCTGCAGCCTTTTTGTGGCTTGACTAGTGCACATGAAACGCATACACTCTTGGTGAACTTTCAGTGCTTTGCAATGATCTAGTCAAGAGTGCTGTGTAGGTCTGGCACCGGCAGCGCAAATAGTCAGGTTTCCAGATGCCCGCAGTGGAATGAGGCTAAAAAGTACAGGGTGTCGAGATAGGTTCAAAATCTCGTACAGGGGGGAAGCTTGCGGCCCTGCCGCCAAAGTCGATGTCGGCTCCTCTACTCAATAGATCAAGTTGTGTTGACTGGCGTTGTGATTCAGCAGACCTCGTCGGCTGCCGATGCTATTGTCCGAAGACTGCGGTTCGTGCTTCTTGCTCACGCCTTTTGCGAACGAGGAGAAGCCGGTAGGGTACTGCGCAACCTGGGCCAACCTGGCAATGTCCCTCTTGTAATCCTCCTCGTTCCAATTATCTGTAAAGATGAATGGCAAGATGGAGAAGACGCAAATGACAAAGGCGATGCTGCCTCCGAACAAGCTCCACGCTAGGAGCCTGTTGTTGTGCGTGTCGTACGGACGCTTTGGCGGAACGGCCTTGGTGCCATTCGTCGCTTCGCCAGGATTGTAAGGCACAATGTCCGGATACCTGTTGCCGAACTCGTTGACAAAGAGGAATTGCAAGGAGCTGTTTGAACTGTACACGGCGTAGTCTTGATGGCTAATGTTGCCTAGGAAAGAGACGGAATGGGTGGGCGGGAGCGTCTTGGTGCCTGTCAGATTCGCGAGGGAAAGGACAAATTGGGAGCCTCTGTCGAGATGGTTCCCGCCCTGTTCTCTCGCTTGGCAGTGCGTGTCACCAGCACCATTGTCGCTGAATAGGAGGGCAGCACTGTCAGCGAAGACGCACAGTGCCAAGCTTGCCAGCGCGTGAGACTCTCACAGTAGACCGTATGCCATGTGTATTTTGCGACTCAGAAAGCGCTGCACGATGTAGGTCGTGTTTGCCACCACATCTTTGCGAGCGTACTTGACCACCTTGGTCTGATTCCCGTAGAGACCGTAGTGGTACTGCTGTGCCTGCGCATCGCACGTGGCGTTAGGATACGGTCTGTCCTTGGAAAGCCAAGTGTAGCTTCCCGGATCGCCAATAAAGTAGTAGACATTGTCGTCGTACTGTTTCTGCTTCTTGAGCGTAGCATAGCGCTGTACCATTTGTCCGCCCATCGAGTGACCTTCAGAAAGACAAGCATGATTGCAGAATGCGTCAGGTAGCCGGCAAAAGGGCATCCCGAATCATTA